ACACTTTTCTGCCATGCGGAAAGCGGGCGTGCACGTGCACCTCAGCCTCCCCCTCCCCAGCCCGGCCTGCGCCCCCTCACCGTCTGCGTCTTTTCGGTTGGGAAGCCCAGGGCTGCAAGCAGCCTCCAGGGTCTCTCAGTCCAGCCCCCAGCGCTGTTTGCTCCCAAACCATCCCAGGCAAATAAAGCTATAGAGAAGTGGAGCTGGAAGGGCTCTTCAGAGGTCACACAGTCCCGTTTTTAACGTTTGTTTGTCACCCTGTCGTATACTTTTGCAACCCACTTCTGGACCGCGACCCATGGGTTGAGAAACACTGATCTAGTCCAACCCCTTGCCTGAGGCGGAATCATCCCTATCCAAGCCACCCCATAAAACCATAATCTCAACTCTGCATAAGACCTTACCCTCAACCCAGACACAACAGAGCCCCAACACCCTAGCACTGCAAACGTCGGGCAAAGGAGATGCTACTGCTCCTCTGTGTAATGTGTTCCCCCTATCAGGCACTTTTTAAATACCCAGTCCCATGTGAGAACTGGGGGCAAAGAGGAGACCCCACACTGAAGACTTCAGGCAGCAGGGAATGGACAGGAGAGTGCAGAACAGTTTGGGAGAATAACCACCTTGGACAGTAGACACAGAGCACTGGCTTTCCTGCCCTTACTCACGGCAATGGTGAATTGAACCAGTGTTTCATGTCAGTTTTCCTTTTTGATGCAATAAAAAAATAAAAATCTCACCTTTAAAAAAAAATCAGATCTATAATATAAAAAAAGTCTCACGCTGCTTCACTTGAAAGAGCAGGAAAACATGGCAAGGATTACAAGCTGAGTTGGCTGTTCCCTCTTGTCTGAGTCAGCTCATCTGATTAGAGCCCTGACCTACACCTTTGCAAGGAGTTGCGATAGTGTCTGCTCTCCATCAGAGCACGCTGATGTTGCAACTAGTATTGCAATCCTCTGCCTCATCTGTAACGCAGGACGTGGCCACTGAGAAATGCCTCAGGCATGATGACTGCACTTTTAAGCAACTATCATCTGCCACCATGTCCTTGTGCCAGTGCCGCGCTATAGTGTAGACAGGAAATGTAAGCATTAATTGGAAGAGTGCATTTAATTCCTCCAGTTCTAGTCTTACCATCATTATCTGCATGAACGACACATGCCCCTGGAGGCTGGGGGGGCATGGCAACCGCCGGCAGGCAGTGGTGGCAATGGCGGGGGTGTGGCAGTAATGAGCAGGGAGCGCCAGCAGGCAGTCGCGGCGGTGTCAGTGGCAGGGGGCTGGTGAGCAGCAACTGCCCACAGGAGCCGCCGGCAATGTTGGCGGTGCTTCTTTCAGGGGTGCACTGCCAATCTCAGGGGGTGCACGTGCCCCCCCTACATGTCGCCAATGATTATCTGATAATGTTGATAGCTCAGAGCACAAGTTTTCTTTCACCAAATCATTAATTCACTCACTACATGTCAAGGGAATAAGAACAGTTTTCCCTGTTAAAATGTAACCAGCTACTTACTCCCAAGTAAATCCATTTACTTCTCTCCCCAGACAACCCATTCTCTTCATCGCCTCTGTTCCACTTCAGGAGTGTGTACCCCATGAGGCTTCTTTGCACTATATGGGGGAGTAGGGACTTGGGGGGAGTAGGTATTGTGATCAGTTTAGACCTGGATTGCTTCCCTCTGAGAAGGACTCAAAAAAGACAGAACACAAAACAAAAAACCCAAGAAAAATATTAAAGGAAAAAAGTACCTGTATAAATGCCCCATCCCTCTTGCGTACTATAGCCGCAAAGCATGTAAGTAAACAGAACCTACAATTTGCCACAGGCAAAGAACAGGAGAAACCATGTCTTGGCCATGGTAGGAATTTGTAGCTCCAATATTCTTAGGTGATTTTAGAAAGTAGACCATGCTCCATACTACAAAAAAAAGGTCTTTGGCAATCTAACCCAAGGGAAGTTTCTTTCCTGACCCCGGATCTGGCGATTGCTTTGACCCTGAGCATGTGAGCAATATCTAGCAGTTGGACACATAAAAGATTTCTCAGAGCTATTTGGGAGCACCAGTGTAAACACACCAAACTCCCATTTCTAGCCAAGTCAAGCATCCAATTCTTCTAAGGAAGGCAAACAAAACAAAACAACCCCCTAAAAGCCATTGCATTCAGAAAGGAAAAGCATTATGTCATGGCCTCAGTAGACAATCAGCAGAAGCCATGAAACATAGAATTGCCAGACACCTCATGTATGTAGGCAACGTATATAGAAGTCAAATGTCCTTCTAACCCCTTCATGGGGATACCAAACGCGCAGTGCCACATAGCATATGCACTCTGAGTGCTGGTATTACTTCAAGAACATCTCTTTCTAGTTATACTGTCCCTTTCATAAACTTGTCAAGCTCTATATCAAATATATTTAGATTCCTTCCCCCTTCCACCCCTGCTACTACTTTGTTCATAAGATCATTCCAGAACTTACTCCTCTAATGGTTAGAAATCTTATTCTAATTTCCAGTTTAAATTCTTTCATGTTCAATTTGATATTGAGCTAATAGCTCTTCCCCTTCCCCAACAGGCACCTCAGAATGTATTTATATAGAGCAATCAGACCCCTTCTTAACCTTCATTTTGCTAAGTTAAACGAGCCAAGCACTCTTAATTTCCATCATAAAATAAACTCTTCATTACCTTAATCACCCTAATAGACCTGTTCCAATTCAAATTCATCTTGAAAATAGGTGATCAGAACGATACGTGCTTTTACAAATGGGTCTGACCTGGGCCTCATACAATGGTGCTAAAACTACTAATTCTACTGAGAACATCCTAGAATCATATTAGCCTTTTCCACAGCCACAGCCACACTGGACGACCGCAGCTACAGCCACACAGAAGCCATGAATAACTAGTATACCCAGATCCCTCTCTTCCTCCGTCACCTCCAAACTACAAGCCCTAATTTTATAGCAAAAGTTATTAGTCCATAATTACAACTTTTTATTATTTAATTAATTTATAGTTTTTTACAATATTATACATCTATTAATATATAACATATATTACTATGAATAGATACTATATATATATTAAATGTACAATATATTACTATATAGTTTCTATTACTCCATACTGTTACTGACTGAGGTCAGACCACCCTGAGCTCAATCACTGAGCTCCAGTAAGCTGATGATGCTGCAGTGTGTGCTCACTTGGAAGCAGACTGTCAGGCAATCATCAATGTCTTTACCAAGGCATGCAAGAAAATAGGACTGACATTTAACATTCAGATTAAGGTCCTCCACCAACAAGATCCTCCCCAGCTCTGGTAATCCACATCTAGTGAGACTCTGGAGAACATTGAGTATTTCCCATACATCAGAAGCCATTTCAAAGAAGGCTGACATGAACAAAGAAATCCAAAATTGCCTCAAATCCGCAAGTGCAGCCTTTGGACACCTGAGGAAACAGGTGTTTAAAGGTTGTGACATCAGGTCCGAAACCAAGCTCGTGGTTTATCAAGCGGCCATGATCCCTACCTTGCTGTATGGAGCTGAGATATGGACAACGCACAGGAGACACCTAAAGTTGTTGGAGAAGTACTATCAACACTGCCTGCGGAAGATCCTCCGAATCCAGTGGGAAGACAGATGCACCAACGTTAGCGTCCTCGTGCAAACAAACACCATGAGTACTGAGGTGATGATCATCCAACATCAACTTCGTTGGGGCAGCCATGTCATCCAGAGGTCAGGCTTCAGACACCCAAAGCAGGTTTTATTCTCCCAGCTCAGCCAAGGCGTATACTCAAGAGGAGGGAAGAGAAAGTACTTCAGGGATGACCTCAAGGCCAGATTAAAAGAATAAAGCATTGATGTCAACTCATGGGAGACTGCTGCCCCATACTGCCCCAAATCAAGGAAGAGTCTGCTGCAGGAATCTCAGTACTTTGAAACCTGACAACAACAGGAGATGGAAAAGCGGAAGTGGCAGGAACATTGTGTTGTGGGCCAAATCAAGAATCCAGCGCCACCCACCCCACACAGAAATACACATCTGAGTTGCAGTAGAGTCTGTCAATCCCGGGTAGGCCTCATCAGCCATCTTTGGACACACAGATAAGACAATCATGCAAGACAATCATCCTTGACTGTGAGGGATTGCTGAAGGAAAAATAGTTTCTATTACTCCTTCCACAAGATTATCTATTTCTCCTGCATGAAAAACCAGTCCTCATCCTCCCAACTTTGTTTTATCTACAAATTCATAAGCATACACAGAGTTCTTGTACTGAGGTAGTTAATAAAACCATTAAACAGAATAGATCACAAGACCAGTCCCTGATAAATACCACTACTATTCTCTCTCCAGTTAGATAATTATTCTTTCAACATAGCCCATTGTAATATCCCTGTAGCTAGTTCCTTATCTACTTTACAGTAGGAGTGTGCATTAATCCTCATCTTCCATTTTAGCTAATAATTTCCTGTGACATTATTGTATATATTCTGGCCTTCAATCCAATGTCTAGTCTGAAAGGGTGAGGTGGGCACACTCTATTTTTCACCAATATGTTTGCAAATGTGAGGGTGTGATACTGGCCCTTCTTTCAGTGTAGATTCTGCAGAGAAAAACAGTAGAGTAAGCCAATAATGGAGAGTAAGTGCCTACCCCTCCCCCAACAAAACCCATTCTGTACCACACACGGTGGGCACTTCTCAAGAGGGAATTATTTGCACACTAACTGTGGGTAAGAAGATGTTCTGGTGTAAACTGGTGGTTTGTAACTGGTAGGTGCGGGGTTGCAGCAGGTAGATTGGATTCAATCTTGACTCAATATTCAAGTGGTCCTGAGCAGCTGAAAGCACTATAGCTGTTCTACCTGTGCCCCTTGTGCAATGTGTACTGCAGGTTGCTAAGTCATACTTTTAGCTCTGGAGGCTCCTGGTTCACGCCTGAAGTGTTGACTTAAATGGTGGCCATCAGGCTTGCAGGGAATGTTGAATATGGATTTGGGGCTCCAAAAACAAGATGACTGACAAATGAACCGTGCAGTTGCAGATCTGCACCTCTTCAAGCACATCTGTGTAATCCTTTAGTGTACATGAGGCTATTCAAAATAAAAAAAATAATAAAGCAAAGACTTTACTCCTAGAGTTCTTTTTGTTAAAAAAACGAGTCTGTTTCAGATTATTTTCAGTTATCAGCTTAAATACTGTCTGTTATAAGTCATATATTGACAGGAACCAATACACCCAAACCATGACCTCTCTCCTAAAATTAAGATTATAGGTAAATGCCAGTTAAGGACTGTATCCAATGTCCAGTTAATTCAGTGGAAATATTTCCACTGACTACAGTGGGCTTTGGGTCAAGAATGCTCTATTTCTGCTTACCTTAATATGCCATGTATGATCTGTTAAAAATATTGCAACTTCTCTTTGTACTGAAATGAATCCTTAAATTGGAGGATCCTGTGTTCTTGAGCAGTTGATCCTTTATGTTTCCAGAGTGCATTAACAAGAGGGATGAGAAAAACAGAACATGCATAATTATAATGGAAACACATAGCTAGACTTCCTGACAACTAGCTTGGTTTCCTGTTTTTCATAGTGTCAACTATGGATGCTTAGAGAAAAGTGTAAAACCCTTTTTAATATGCCTGTAAGGTAGCTTCTTAATTCAGATGGTTAGGTGTTGGTTTATAACCCCTATACATTTGTATCCTTTAGCGTATCATTATGGATGTTCTTGTTATTCAAATAAATGTCCAATATAAGTAGCCTCACTGGACCAGTCAAAATTAAGGGAACCAATCATTTTATATTGTAGATAAAGTATGATGGGATTGTCATTATTACAATAAGATAACTCATGTACCTTCACCAAAACTAGACAAGTAGTCTCTAAATTCTGGGTAGTTATAGACTTTATATATATTATAGGCTTATATTATTTACATGTATGTTATAAAATCAATATTATCACTGCCCACTTTTTTTAATCAGCAACATCTTTCAGACCATTTTAATAAATTACTTAGCCTCTAGACTGGATTATTGCCTTGTAAAATAGAAATACTGCTACCATTGCTTAATTATGCTCAATGTGATGTATTGGGGAGCAGGAACATGGATTACACAAACACAGTAACTGTGGTTGACTTCATCTACAATACTACTGCACCAAGACTTTCATTTCTTGAAACAGTTGATTTCTGACCATAAATTTTACTATTTCTAAGAAAAATCAAAAGAGTTTTATGGAGTCACACAGTCAATACACAAACATGCTGCTGCTGCTTTGTCTGCAGTGCAGCTGCAGTAGCTGCCTTTCTTTCTCCTCCTCTACTGAATCCTCTCTAGGGAGGGTCCTTTCAGTTAATCTGCTTGACCATGTAATTTGTTTTGTAACAAGATAGCGTCTCCTAATATCATGTTTGCCTCTGACTTTTTTCTAGACTTTTATAGGACCATCTGATGATGAAACTATTAAATTTAACCAGTGAGATATGCCACTAAGTCACATAAACCATGCCTCTGCACTGCATGGGTATTCACACAGCACTCACTGGAACTCTCAAAGTTTGTTTCCAACGTGGACCTGGGCTTAGTAGAAAAATCTGAAGCAAAAACCTTAGGAGAAAAACCTGCAGGATTTTAAATGAGGTGATTAAAATGAATGTTTCTGGCCAGGATGGTAGAAGAGGATATTTCTGACATGATACTTCTGTTTTCACAGGATTAAATTATTCATAGATTTATAGATTAGAAAGTCAGAAGGGACCCAAAGGATCATTGTGTCCAACCCCCTGCCCCTGGCAGGAAAGAGGACCAAGGTCAGACGACCCCAGCCAGGTGACTGTCAAGCTTCCTCTTGAAGACCTCCAAGTTAGGTGACAGCACCGTCCCTCTTGGAAGCCTGTTTCAGACTTTGGCCACCCTTACTGTAAAAAATTTCTTCCTAATGTCTAACCTAAATCTACTCTCCACTAGTTTGCACCCATTATTCCTAGTTACTCCGTGGGGCGCTCTGGTAAACAGCGCATCACCAATTCCCT